GTGCTCAGTGGCCGGCTGGGGTTAAACATGACAGCTGTGCTTAATGCATGCCAGAATGTGGTTTGCCCTTTTGGCCACCAGGATATTTTTCAGTATTTCCTTTAAGTATTCACTGTCTTAAAAAAAAGCAGCACAGACTCAAGAAATTCTTGGGTCAGAGAATTTTAATGAAAAAGTGTATTTTTTTTAATTTGGGCAAATGATACACAAAAGAAAAAAATATCAGAAGAGCTAGTCCCAGCCTACAGATACCTTACAACCTAATAAACAGAATGGAAAAAAATCAATTAAAGTGGCTGGGAAGTCTAAGGGTTTCCAACTAAATCAATTGTATGTAATGTAAGTATAAAGAAACATAATATGCCTGGCAAGTTCTTATCTATCCCAGAATATGGGAATTGCATTGAGCGTAATTGTAGATGACAAAAATGTTCAAAGTAGAATGAAGTATAAAAAAATTGTTCATTAAAACAAAGATTCATATTTAAACCAAGACACACACAATGCTGACAGAGACACACAACAACAACAACAAACCATGCCTAGAGCCACAAGTTCTGCACTTTACAGCAACGATTTTTTGAATTAATCTAGATCAGGTGACCTAAATTTCTCCAGGGGTTAGAAGTCAGAGACTCAAAGCCTACTGTTGGTGCCTGAGCTATGCCACCGCAGCAGTAAACTTTGTGATAACTCAGCTTAGCAGAAAACGTGAACCAATGTTGACAGGCATATTAATTATGCGTGCTTTTGTTCAGCTAAAAAAAAAGTTACGATAATGAAGTTAAATGTTTTATATTTCAGTCAAGACTGTTTAATCATATTTGCATCTTCTTTGAGATTTTTATATTAACTTGGCATTGGAAATACAGCTGACTTGTACCAGAAACATCTTCTATTGCTCTACTGAAATTACTATTTCCAAGAACAGTTCTCAATAAATGAAAGAGTTGAAGTTCAACCCACCCCCACCCCTTTTTTTTTCATATGCCGTAATTCCTAAAAACCAAAGTTTCTCCACTTACATGAAATGCTGCTACGAAGAATGTCAAAGCCAGAAAGTACAGGTTAGTGTCAACAAAAATTCCTTTTACTTCATCTGCATCCTTTTCTGAAAACCCTAAGAGAAAGAACAAGTAATTATGCAAGAAGTACTAGACAGTTAATTGCTGTTATGCTAGAGTCCAGTATGAAAGGAATCTTATTTCACCTGCACGTTTTATTAAGGAATCATAAATCCAAAACAAGATGGCAGCTTTATTGGTAAAACCCAAGTCTACCTATATTTTGGCTAGTTATTTGGCTTGCCTTAAACAAAACCCATCAGTTACAAGCAGACCGATGTGCCTTTAATGTGTTGTGTAACTACAACCCAAGCTGAACACCAGAGACACAAATGGCAAGACACAAGAAGTCATTTTGGCCTGAGTGGGAAGAAAAAAATGTTATTCAACTTGGCCTCTGAGGTTTTATTTGATACGTAAGAAAAGTGAGCTTCACATTAAAAACCAAAAAATGAGAAAAGGGCTATGCTGTGGAGGACAACAAAGGCCAGTGGGAAACATGGCCATATATGCAACAGTTTAGACCCCAGATGATGGATTAGGTATCAACTCTTTTGACAGTCCTTGCAGAATTAACTTGGAAGCTTCTCTTTGATAAATGGAAAAAGGCAAAGCATCTTCCAGAAATCACAATCTGTAAGCTGAATACATATTCTCTACTGTCTTATCAATTCTTCCCAAGGAGGAATGTTGCTTGTTACATACTGGACAACCATTAATTCAAAAAAAGTTAGAGCCTGTCCATGATAAATATGGTTGCCAGCACCAAGGAGTGTGTTTTCCAGAAGATACAGCATCCCTTTGAACTCCTTCAGCCAGTGTTAAGATGCTTTCTTCATGAGGTAGAAAGTTCCAGCCACTGTGATTGAAGTCTACCATTCTCAGAAAATACACAATGCTGCAATTACAGCCATGGTGCCAGTTATGACACTGGTGAGTTCAGTACCAATTTACTTTGTCATATCAGCTGTCCTCCATCACAGCAAGAAGAATGTGAATTTACCCATTTTCAAGTGATTTTGGAGTTTTGCTACTGATCTAAGGTGACCTTTTCATAAGTTACTCCAAAAGGAAAATTTTAAGCCTTAATGTTTTACTATCTGCATACTTATAGAGAACAAGCAGCATCTTAGGTAAGCTTTTTTCCCAGGCAGAGGAGGTACTCCTAGGATGATAGGTCTTGATACACATGTCCATCACAAGACAGCCACGACATGGAACGCAAAAATTTCAATTATGCCATTATGGAGAAATGACAGTGGTCAAATGCCCCACACAAACTCTGAGCAAGCGGTTACTTGATTTTTCAAAGCAGTTATTTCAAGCAGACATACCTGTAGCTTCGATACACATTAGCCTGAGCTAAGGATTCTAAGCTGGATTCTACTTAGGATGACCTTATTCCTTACCTTATGCCCTCCCTCCCCCAACAAAACATGAGAGAAGCTTAAGCTGCAAAAGAAATGGAGAAAGTCTAGACTCAGTTAAATTACACTGTATACAGGTACTGTGTCTTACAATACCACACTCCGAAACTAGTGCTGAACCAGAACAGATTTTTTTTTTTTTCCAGAGGAATCAATGCCTTAAGTGTTAAGTTGTCTATCATAAAATATTAATTCAGAGATGACAGTGAATAACTAAAGCCTCTCCCTCTTACTGACTAAATTTTGGTGAACAAAGAACAATATTGAGTCATATGGAAGCAGCATCACCCCTGCATACGTCTTTTGGAAAACTAGTAGAATACTACATCTATCTGCATTTGAAAAAAAAAAAAAAAAAAAGGATAAACTGGGAAGGATTTAAGAATCATTAAAATAATACAGCACAGAAGCTTTTAAGATCTCTTAGCCTTGAAAAAAAATTCACATTGCTGTCTGAAGAGCTTAAAAAGAGAGGATCAGAAAAAATCCTACATTCATATACCTCAACGCCAGTTCAGTTACGATGTAATTCCTTACTCTAGCATAAAGAAGCCAACTACAGTCTAGTGAGAGAAAACTAAGTCAACAAAGATAACCCTGAAAATAAGATGCGGATTTTTAAGAGTGATGATTCACAAAGGAGTGAGTCTAATTTAACATTTAAAGACAGTAAAAGCTTGGTTATACCATCACCAACACAGAGCATATGAACTTCAGAGTGAAACTGTACGCTTACTCCATTACATTTAAGCAAAACGCAGAATTTAATAGTTTCATGCCTGTGAAGCCTCCGGTTTGGCTGAATTACCTTATAAACTGAGCCAAAGTGAGAGGCCAGCCAGTTCTGAAGTGTCAGAAGTGGTACGATCAGAACCGAGATTCCTTCTTCACGCTCAGCTTGAGCCCAAAGACTTTGCTGTGCTTGCCTATATTTCACTACAGGTATATGGCTACAGTGACCAGCTACATATAGCTTGTATCAAAGCTTATGTAACACCGATCCAGCTTTTCTGTTCCACGGATGACAGGGGAAACCTATGGCGAAAATTCTCTCCTCTATTTTGGCCTCTTGTACTTTTACAGTAGTACTATCCTAATAAAATTTATTTTTAAAATGGTTAATTCACCTCTATATTCTTTTTTCCGACTACATGTCAACATTTTATTTCCATCTTTACCTTAAGGTAAAACAATGTAACATTTGTAGCATTAAACCTTTTCACCAGCTAACCAGAAAAAAGAGTGTGTTAATTGTCATCTATGTACTTACAAGAAAAAAAGAAATGAGGGGTTGGTATTTTTTTTTGGTCTAAAGTCATTAAAGATAAAAACCATACCAAATTGTTGGAGGGAGTACACAGCATCCTGCATGTGGATCCAAAATCGGAGTTTTCCAAGAGATATTTTGTCATATGACACTGTAAGAGGTAGCTCTGTTGTGGAACGATTTATAACCTGTATTTCAAAAAGATACAGTTTCATTTTTAATAGCAGAAAATTTGCAACAATTATTTCCATTCATATTTTTAAAAATAAAGGAAAGTGATTATATCAGACTATGATTTAATCACACAATTTTAAGAGGTCAGGTTTTTTTTTGAAAGGGAATAAGATCTTAGACTTCTATACTATGCTTGAAGTCTGTGTTTTTTCCCCAAGAAATGCTAAATTAGCGTTTGTTCTGTTCAAGTTCTTGTAGCAACCTCACTGTTACTGTATACAAATGCCTCTGAGATGTTTACATAAAGTTCCCTCCACTGGTCACAGTTCAAGTGGAAAAAGTGTGCTTAATGTAATTCTCTCTTTTGACAGTTCTTCTCTGAATGTATATGCTAAGATTACCTAAGATAGAAGATGAAAAAAAAAAAAAAAAAGGAAAAAATCATATCCCAAAGGCCACAGTCAGAACTCTACTAAACTAAGGTTTTTGAGAGAAATTAAAGTTACAACAACTCATACCAAAACCAAAGGTGGGGAAGCAAGATGATCCTACTTGCTCAGACTGGTGAAAACACCACAGCTAAAGCTAAGCAAGCTACCCTGCCTGTAAAACTTGGGATATGGGGTGTCACAGAAATCTTCCTGCTCCAAGAGAAATACATTTCAGCTAATCCTCCTGTATCATCTACACTTTAGTTATGATGACCACTACCTGGGACCCCCTTAAGCTGGGGTGGGGAGGGGTAGGGGAGGTCTTAAATTGCCTCAGCATCTTCTGCACGATAGGTGACTGTTTCTCAAAAAAGTTTAAAACAAAGAAAAAAAAATTGTCCTCACAGATGTTAAAATTCTCCACAGCTACCTAGGTACAAGTTCAGGCAGTGTGTTTTAAACTTTTAAGGATAGCTCAAGACTACAGGCAGGCAGGCACTCTGAATTGCAACAGTTTGAGATCTATCATTCCCAGCTCCTAATTACTACCCAATCATAATTCCCATCTCAGAACTACTACACTACACTGTACCTGTTTCTGCAGTAATTAGTTAGCTGACACCTATCTGAGATAAATAGGCTTTTTCTGATCCTTATGTTATTACAGAACATGGTTTTAGCCTCCCCATGTATCGGTCAGGTGTGAACTCGGGATTACGTTCACTCTCCCATTCACTCCTTCCCCCAGTGAGTACAAACAGTTCTCCACCTCGCCACCCTCCCAAGACCCTATAAGCTTTTCAGACGGTGGCAGAACATGCGTGCATGCAAGGGAGAGAAAGGGAAGCTGAGAAAGTTTTATAAATACAGCAGGGAGAAACTAGAATGGTGCCAGGGATCTCTGAACTGTCTGGAAAAAACAAAACCAACAACAAAACAGGGTGAAAACAACGTGGTTAGAGCTGACGGTAGAGAATGCTGGCGAGATTCTACAGCTACATAAACATCTTCCAGGCTTCTTCTCCTGTTTAAAGGATGCCTGTAATCCCTCCATTCTCATTCCTTCTCGGTCAATCAAAGATAGCATCAACATTTCTCAGAGAAAAGGAAAAGAAATTTTATCTGTGCAGGACAGACAGAAAACAAAAATTTTGCAAATGCATGGGTAAGTAACATCAGCAAGTGCACTCTACACAGACAAAGCACTACTAAGGAGTTAGGGATAGCGTAGGGAGAAAATCGGATTGCAGTACAAGACAGAGATAGGAATTCTTCAACACCAAAAGCAAATTAAATGAACATATAAAGATTAGAAGAATGAACTCTCTCTCAATGAACAATTAAAAGTCCAGAAGTGCTGCCTCACAACCTACTTGAGTGTGATGGTTGCTAAGCCTTTGAAAAGTAGGAAGTTACCAAACCTCTGCAATACAACCTACTCTTGTAGTACAGCCTCAGAACATCACATATTACTTCTAGCACTCCACTTCATCAGTACTACAAAACAGTGTCTAAACAAAGCAAGTAAGTGCAGTGGTATGAATTTTGAAGTTTTCTCTTTGTTATATCAGGATCCTGTGCAATCCCCAAGCCCCCAGCATTGGAAAAAACATTTAAGAACATGAGGAACATAACCTCTAGACTACAGCACTTACCATAGAAGACCTACATGTGGGTCAAAATAACAGTCATTTCAAAATCTACACAGCACAAGCAGGGAAAATGCATCTTCAGGTCCATGCCTTTATGTCGCGCATACCAAACAGACAGCATCTATGCCCTATTTACAGTCAAATGCCAACCTTGCTCCACAACAGCTGGATCACCTTCTTCCCTTATGCTTCCTCGCTCTTCACTAACCCCTCATTATCTCACAGTATGCATACTATTAGACCACTCTTTCTGCAGGGCTTGCGAGCAGTTTGGCAAGTCACTACTGAGAAGTCAAATAAGCCAGTGCTGAAGGGGAAGTTTGCTAGTTTTGATGGAATAGTCTTTGCAGCGCTTCTCAGGATCTTTAACAACTTCAAGGCAGTGAGTTTCAATAGCGTTAACCGTGACATGCATGACAACTGCAGGAATGTTATTAATAACATGAGAATGCTGAGTTTATTTGTAAACAGGATACATGACTTGACCAGTTAGAAGCTCATATGAATGTACTGAACTGAATGAGCTGTGGTAAGAAACTTAAAATAAAGGACAATGACCACTGATAAAGACATCACAAAAGTATATCTAAAAAAATACTGGACAAAACTAACTGCTACCAAGATTTGTAACAAATGCTCAGGAGTTTATTTTGCTGAACAAGCTTGAGGTGGAAGGGATACAAGTTCTTAAAGAAGATTTTCCCCAATGCTAAGTAACAAAATTCTTTATCTGAGCTAAAAGTTAATGAATTGGAAAGACAATTTAGAAGGTCTATGGAAAGTTTACATCTACTAAGACTTCCATCTAGAAGATGCTGAATCCAGAGATACTCATTTAACAGTTTTGAGACATTCCCCAAGACTCTTGTTCTCAGTAACTCTGATTGCTAAATTCCAGTCAGTGCAACTGAAAAGAACTGCAGGGCTTAACTAAGAGCTGCTAAGATGAACATGGTTTAGATGCAGGGGACTGCCATGTGTAACTTGTAGTAAAGGAACTGCATGATTTCCCACAAGAGAAGAGTTGGGCAAAAACTGAATACGGAAAATTCTATTTAAATGTATAAAAAAACCTTTTTTTTTTTTTTTTTTTTTTTAACTCCGAGGGTTTATTTTCGGGTTTTTTTTTATTAAAAAAACCTTTTTTTTTTTTTTTTTTTTTTTAAACTCCAGGAGTTAACTTCAGGGTTTTTTTTAACTGCAGAAGACTAGAACAGGTTGCCCAGAGGGGCTATGGCATTTCCATCCTTGGATATATCCAAAACCCAGCTGGAGGAAGTCCCGAGCAACCCGCTCTAGGTGACCCTACTCTATGGAGGGGCATTGGACTAGCAATCTCCAGAAATCTCACCCAACCTCATCCTTCTGTAATTCCATTATTGAAGTTTCTAAGTCCTGATTTGTTTGAGTGCACAAAATCATTGGATGTACCGCAGCAAGTTTCAGGTGCTCAAGTTACTCTAACATGATAGACAGCACCACCAGAAAATTTAACCACAAGTGAATTTTTTGGAGATAAGAGCATAGCTACTGACTTATCTCAGTGTAGCTCCATGATCAGCTGTGTTCAGTACGCTCATTTCCCTAGAAGATATCAGAAGCCATTCTGGGATGCTAACACAAGTTCTTCAGCTTAGGGAGTCAAACTGCTCCCACCACAGCTGGTGCTGCAGTGATGTCCTCCATATCCACCCAAAAGGCAGAAGCAATGGAATCCAAATACATTTGGGTGGAATAGAAGGGAGTGCTTGGCAGATAATTCTGCCAGAGGGGAATCTCAAAACTCAGATCCAGCCTCTGCAGTTACCACAGTTGACCACATTAAGTTAAACTGTCATTGAGAGAGTCCTTTTGTGAATTTATACTTTTTCATTATAGCAAACAACCTATGACAAAATCTTAATTAAGATAACATTGAAGAGTACTGTTAAAACTGTTAAATGTAATTAAAGGTATTCTATTACTCACCATCAAATCTTTCACTCTGTTGCTTAGCTGATCAATAAATAATATTGGAAGGTAATGCACTGTCTTCCCCAACTGAACCCTAGGATGTTTAAACATGGATTTTATGACTGTAGTGATCTAAAAAGAAAACTACTTTTATTCAAATTAGCACTCATTCATCACTTTCAGATCTACCCATGCAGATATTTCCCACCATCTTTTCAGGCACATTTTCTTTTAACACACAGCAAGAAAGAAGCCACTACCCTAGAGTCTTTCATTGAGAGATGCTTGTACAAAAAATTAGGCATGTGATATTTCTCCTTTTAGTTTGTTTTTACTTTTCTGTAGAAAGACAGAATAAGCCAAAAAATCAAAAAAAGACAAATGAAATTGGTTGTAATGATGCTGAAGCTGCTGCATGACCAAGGGTAGAGGAAATTAAAAAGTCTGTTGAAGAGAAACATGCTGACGTTTACTACCATATATTCGTATCCTTTGTCTCAAGTATCCCTCTCCTACTGCAACAATGACAACTCTCCACCATCTCCCCCACTCCTCTGCACCCCCAATGACATCCATCAGGTCAGCAACAGCACATGCTCTAGCTAGCACGGGACTATGGACACGATGGCTGGTACGCACACAGGAAGGCTAGATACTACTGGAGAGAGTGCACAAGAAGCAGAAATCTTCTCTGCCTTCTCCTCAACAGAAGCTCTCGTTTGGATCGCTCTACCACCTCACCAACCTGCATGAAACCAAGAGAAACTTCCCAGCCCTTGAGCCCTCCACAAAATTGACCACTGGAAAGTTATTTAGCAAATTATGACCTATATGCAATTGCTTTGTCAGTATCTTAGAAAAGTATTTAGTCTAATGCCCTAAGAGAGACAAATTCTTGAAGTTCTTCACTAGAAAGGCAGCTATCTACACTGTGATGTTCTCAGTAAAAGTCCATGGAACTAACGTAATGGAGATTTTTAAAGCCTGAAAGTTCAATTCTAGTTGTTCACAAAAGAAAGAAGTCTCTATGCATGCTAAGAAAGACTGCATACTAAATATACAGTGGGCAACAGCAATATAGAAAAGTACTAAATCGAGGCTCAGAAATACTGCTTGGCTATTTAACTGAGGAGGGTTAGATTTCTATATAATAACTACAATTAAAGCTACTGCTAGTGGAATTGCAGCAGGCTATTTCATATCCAAACTATTTCCTGTATAATGCAATGACAAAACAGCATATCTAAACATGACCAGAAAAAATATCCTTGTTCACCAACCCCAGTCCAACCCCTTCTTGTTATGGGCCTATCTTATGAGTACTAAGTTTATCTATTCTGGCTGGGAAGCTATCCCAGAACCCCAGGGTCTGCTGATTAAGCAACTACTTCTGGATCTAACAGGATACTTGTAGAGAAAGGCATCAACATACAGTAGCACAAGCCAATACAGCACTATTTATACAGTTAACACTGGAAGTAATTTAAGCAAGCTGTGAACAGAAGCTACTGCCTGCATTTAGTGGCCTAAAAACCTATCCCTGCTTTTTAGTATTTTCTTGAGAAAACGACATAATGTAGGAACACACATTGTCAAAGTAAAATAAAGCCAATCATAAAGGGAGAAAAAAGATGTCATAGGAGATCAGCTGTGCCTCTTCAGCACTTGCAGTTTGTACAGATAATTTGCAGATGAAGGATAACTGGAAAGGTGAAGGGACAGTAATTGCTTTAAAGGCCAGAAGTATGATTTGAGAACAAGGGGGTATGAAGTCTGCTGTAGCATTTTTCTTGTGTCTTTGTAGTTCTGCTTTGTCTTACTATGATAACTCCATACAAAAAAGTATTCTAAACTCTGAGCTGCCCAGGAACAAGATATCTCCAATAAGGTTTTCTAGTACATAATATTTTACTAATTGTCGCTACCAAAATGCAAGCATTAAGAGTATCTATTCTTGTCTCCTAAGTGCCAATTTAAACATAAAGTACTAAAGGAGGCAAGGGAGGACTTTTGAAGAAATGTGCAGTAAGTTTATAATAACAAATCTAGCAAAATTAAGTCATCAACTTACATCTTCATGTAACGGTGAACATCAGCAGGGAGGGATGATCCATCAAACACAAAATCTTCCACCATGACATTTAGGGTTAATCTTGACCTCCAGTGAGAGACAGGTTCATCTAGAGCACTGGCCTGTTTTTCTGCTTCAATTTGCTTTAAAAATACAATAAATACACATACTGCTAAACAATATAGAATTTTGAATAGGATAATATTCTAACTCACAGAAACTACGGAGTCATTAACTATATCACAAAACAGAAGCCCACTAAGAAACGCTTTACCTTAATTTTGACCAGATCAAGCACTTTGCTCAAATACGACAGAACGGATTGTAAAGGCCCACCATAATCTGACACTGAAAAACTTCAGTGCCCATTCACAACCTTGTTCATCAAGAATGAATACTCAGCTAATTAATCTTAATACCTTAGGAATGTGGATACTAGTCAGAAAAAGTCACTTTGAAATAAGGACTGTAGAGTAATCAGATGTTATTTCAAAACTGTCAAAAGGATGTGATATCAACCGTATAAATTTTTGGGAGTAAAAAGATCAGACCATTTGTTTTGAACTTCTGAGCTTCCAAATGCTCTGTAAAGCAGTGCTGAAACCGAGTACGACTTTAGCTTTCAGTAGATGCTTATCCCCAGGGCATTCTACTTGCTTTTCTTTGGATGAACACCACCTGTTCTGACTACTAGTGTTGTACTCTAGCCTTAACTCATTTTCAACTTTATTCTGACAGCATTTAGAAACAGCACTGCTGGCTACGGGTACATTTCAGATTCCAAAGAATAACAGAGTGAAATTCTCAAGCTCCACTTAATATGAGGAACAACAACCATTCACAAGTATTTCATTAAATAACACTACATTTTTTCCCCCCTGGTGAGTAATCATAGCATTTGTCAAAGGATACGACCTTGTTCTCTCAAATTCAAGTGGGAAGAAAGAACATCCTAAAGGAAAAGAAGCAATTTGACATTGGTCACACACCAATGTCAAAATCAAGTTCATATCTCTGTTTTATAAAAGCAAAGCATATTATTTCACATGAATCCAACTCACTATAGAAAGCAGCATCATCCTGTTAGAGCATACAGTATTTCTACCAAAAGCAATGAATCCTTAAAAAAGTAATTAATGTTAACCAGGGAAGTGTTTTAATAGCAGCCAGTGTTATAGAGGGCTCTACCTCTGCTGTGCTGAGTGGTCTACTGTTAGTGTACAAGCTGATAATCAGAAGAGGGCTTTTGATTTTTTTTTTTTTTTCTCCTAATATCATCATTAGTGTAAATGCACAGCAGATGCTAACACTAGAAGTGTCTATAAAAGAAATTACTTTTTTTGCAGTTGTTCACCTATAGATGGAAAAACCACCTACCTGTGTGGCTGATTCTCCAGTGAGCAAATTAATCTCTTCCGGTTTAGGGACCATGTACGTGGTCAGAGGGCTTACTATATGCACCTGTTTACCATCATGCCAAGGCAAAATGCCAGCATGATGAAGAAATATGTATGCATATAACGTGCCATTATTTCGGGTTTTCTTTGGTACTGAGACATTCACTGTCCTAAAATACAAAATAAATACGTTATGAGATAACATAGCTAAATATTTGTCGTGGTTTAACCCCAGCCAGCAAATAAACCCCACGTAGACGCTCGCTCACCCCCCCTCCTCTGGTGGGAAGGGGGAGAAAATCGGGTGGGCACAAGCAGGAAAACTCGTGGGTTGAGATAAAAAAAGTTTAATAATTGAAATAAAATTAAATAGAACAATAATAACAATGATAACAACAACAATAACAGAATAAACAAAGCAGGCAATGCACAATGCAACTGCTCACCAACCGCTGACCACGTGTCACAAAGAGGAGGTGAGCCCTACCCCTCATTTTTCCACTGAGCATGACATCACATGGTATAGAATACCCCATTGGTCAGCTGGGTCAACCACCCCCGCCCAGCTGGGTCAACCACCCCAGCTAGGGTCCCCCCGCCCCCGCCAAGCTTCCCCTGCACTTGGCAGGGCATGGGAGACCAAAAAGAGAAACCAAAAGTCCCCAGTGCAAGCACCACCCAGCAACAGCCAAAGCATCAATGGGCCACCAACGCTCCTCTCATACCAAACCCAAAACACAGCACACCCCCCAAGCTACTGGGAAGAAAGTTAACTCTGTCCCAGCTGGAACCAGGACAGTATTTCAGCATGTGCTATTACATATGAGGATCACTGAAGATGTTCTGGAAGGAAGCAAAAAAAGGCTGGGGACATGGGAGGGGGAAAAAAAAAAAAAAAAAAAAAAAAAAAAAAAAAAAAAAAAAAAAAAAAAAAAAAAAAAAAAAAAAAAAAAAAAAAAAAAAAAAAAAAAAAAAAAAAAAAAAAAAAAAGAGAAGAGACATTTGGGTTGCCTGGCACACAACAATTAGTTCTGGCTAATATGCCCTAATGAGCTGTGGCTGGATGGGATCAATTTATATACTCTAATATGTATCACAATATTTGCACTTCCAAAGTTTTACTATTATCTTAAGATACTTTAATCTTTGTCCAATTCATACTTTATTACCCTAGATAACACAGGACTGTATCATCAGGTTTGTCGGTTTCCCCTGCCCATAGGTCATAGGGCCAAAATTATCACAGCACTTGTAGAAAATAGCCTTCTACGTGCTGAATATGTATCACAGATTGTACATAAAGTTTAAAAAGAAAATCACAAAGTTTTGCCAAGCACTTTGCATTAATAAAATATCTTCTCAGCTATGGGATGCCAAGCACAGAACTCTAGATAGGAGCCCCAAACCATGAAGTCACTCCCCTTGTGTTAGCCAAGAAATCATCCTACTTGCAACCTTGCATAATGCCTCCTCTATTCCTGTACATTTGCTCAGGTTATTTTGCTCTGAATACTTTCAGTGGCTTAGACTCTGTCAAAAAACCAATTCTTATATTTTCAAGTCTGTCAGAGATGAAGTTCAATATGACCTAAACTGCAGACCAACGTGTTCTTTAATTACAGAAAACAGAACGTGAAAGAACCTGGGAGACTCTGCCACAAGACGGTCAAGAAAAAGGTGACTATTTAAACAAAAAAAAGTGAGGCCCCAAATATGAAGCACAAGTAGTTCTAATCATTTTAACTGTATAGAGGCATACGTGGAGTGCAGTGTTATACTCAGAAATTTGTCTATGGACACAATCTTATTCCATCTTAGCACCAACATCCCCTCAGAAGACCTCAAAACCCTAAACTACCAGAAAAAGAAGGTTTACTTTTATGATTATTAGCACTGAAACACTTATAGAAAAGCATGTTGCTAAAACGCAGGAAAAGAGAACATGGGTTGACTTCCAAGTTCTATTCCAAGGTCTGAAGCCACGGCTATTAGGAACAAAACATCACGTAGCTAATAGACTGGCTACACATGTTATTAGAGGAAAGTCTCAAGCATTTCCAGGCACTTTAACTTACGATTTTCACAATGGAAAGTCATTTTTACTATTATAAGCAAAACACACTTTTGTAAAGCATTTGTCTATATGGCTGAAAACAGTACGCTGATCCAAACTAACCAATACTTAAGCTTAGCACATCATACGTGCGTTACTGATCTAGCACAGCTAGTGAGACGAATGCTTAGAGTGGAATCTGAAAGTTAAGATAGACAACATAGGACAGCGTTCAAGATTTGTAAGATCTACAGGAGAGAAACAAGTGTTTCTGTATTTACTAGTATAGCTTTGTTTTGCCAGCTTTGTTTCTTGCAATGACGAGATGATTTTCAACGTAAGAAAAGTTTGTCTAAGAGCCTATTCCTCGGTGCCAGGTGAACTTAGCACACCATTTCCATCAAGGCAGGCACTTTACCAATGCTTAATTCATGAAATGTTCTAGGAACCTTTAATTAAAGAGAAAAATACCATTTTTATTAGCAGCAGCACTTTGTCCTCAACTTTAAGGCTGAAATCCAACTAACATCTTTCTCGCCTTAACATGGCAAATATGGCTATTAGTTTACGAAAACAAGTGTGAATCGAATAGCCTGTACAGCATGCAAAAATAGCTTTAACCCCAAAACAAAGAATGCAAGAACAACAACTCTACTCTTTCAACACAACTATCATGAACAGTCTACCTTGCTTCATGCATACTCCCATACACGTAACTACTAGTTAGGATACATACTTCAGAATTAAACAACTCGTAGTTTGGATACCTACCTTTCAAATTTGGACTCAATATCAAAATCCTCCACATTCAAAACCAGATCTATATTACTCTCAGCACCAATGCTTGACCGTGTGGTAGTATACACACTTAACTGAAATCAAAACACAGCATAGGGAAATCAGAATACAGAAATACTAAATTCATGCATCAGTACGCTTAGAGTACAGATCTGTATTGCAGCTTCACTAATTTCCCCAGTCCCACGATGGTTACATACCGTCGGGAAAGAAAACGATGTGCTCAAAAAACGCCTAACACAGCTGTCAGCTCTCCCTTCCTCACTCCTTTTGGGGGCAGAAACACGTTGTAACACAGCCACCGAACACATTTTAACAGGATGACCTATTCTTGAAGTCAAAGATCTCCAAGTAAGTGGAGCCATTTCCCCAGCCGGGCTGCTCTACTCGCTGCGTGTGCCAACAGATACACGAAATCAAAAACCAAACCCCACCCGCACCCTACCCCTGCTCCAGCCGCGGGCACACC